ACCAAGCACCTTCTTCAAAAACCAACAGTGGTCACCAAAGTCAAGCGCATCTATGTTTATAATCATGCCTATTCCTGGTACAGGAGCTCTGGTGGCGTAGTGCTAAAACACTTGACTGCTAACCAGAAGGCTGGTGGTTCAAACCCACCAAACTTTGCTTGGAAGGAAGATTGGGCAATCTACTTCCGTAGTGATAACTGCCTCAGAAACTCACGGAGAGGTTGCTATGAGTCGGATCTGACTCGATGGCAGTGAGCTTGGGTGTTTTTTGTTGTTGTTGTTGTTGTTTTGTTATTCCAGGTACAATATGCTGACTACAATGTCTTCCTATAGCCAGTGGTATCATACAATACTTACATGTTGGGAAGTATCTATCTTCCTAATCATTTCTTTTTGAGTGATATATCCAATCAATGTTTGTATTACTACCTCAGTTATTAAGGTAATTACTTTTACATTAATGTCAGATGTTTTTTTCATTTTAATTTACTCCTCTAGACAACTTTATATCTCTTAATTTAGAGCACAGTTATCAATAATAAAGTGGCTACAATTTCTTCTTTATATTTGGCATATAGGGGGAAGTTGGCAAAGAAATGTATATCATCAAGCAAGGAGAAGTCCAAGTTCTCGGAGGCCCTGATGGTACTAAAGTTCTGGTTACTCTGAAAGCTGGGGCAGTGTTCGGGGAAATCAGGTATCTGAAAGACATGTATATTGAAGTCAATTACTTGTCCTAAAATAAAAATGTTAGCTCAAAAAATAAGTAAAGTTCCTACTCAAATTTATTAACGGTTTTATTGCATTGAGAGCATTGGTAAAATAAGGACTTTCACATTTCTGTTCATTCTTTCTTCTGTTCCCTAAGGAAAGCAAGTCATTTAGCTCTATAGTCCCTGGACTTAAGTCAGTGCCTGACCTAAGATAGATGCTCAATATAGGTTGAATGACTATATAAATGAATTAATGAATTAACTAGAAAAGATGTTGGGAGAGTTTGTTGTTTTCAGCTAGATGGAAGACCTTAAATGCCAAGCTAAGAAGGTGGTTTTGAGTAAATGAGTGATATATTCTTAGTCGTGGAACCAAATTGCCTGAGTCCCAAATCCAGTTCCCCCCCTTACTAGCTATAGTCCCTGGAACACATTTCTTGACCCTCTGTTTCTGACTTTCCTTATCTTAATAATAATAATAATAGCAATAATAATAATATATATCTTAGAGTTTGGTAAATGAGTAAACATATCAAAGTACTTAAAACAATGTCTAGCACCTGGAACAACCAAACCAAACCTACAGCCTTTGAGTGGATTCCTGACTTTCCTTATCTTAATAATAATAATAATAATAGCAATAATAATAATATATATCTTAGAGTTTGGTAAATGAGTAAACATATCAAAGTACTTAAAACAATGTCTAGCACCTGGAACAACCAAACCAAACCTACAGCCTTTGAGTGGATTCCTGACTTTCCTTATCTTAATAATAATAATAATAATAGCAATAATAATAATATATATCTTAGAGTTTGGTAAATGAGTAAACATATCAAAGTACTTAAAACAATGTCTAGCACCTGGAACAACCAAACCAAACCTACAGCCTTTGAGTGGGTTCCCACTCACAGTGACTCAATGCTGAGCCCCACACCAGCAAACCAGAACTTGGCAAGTTTCTATTTCTTAAATGCTTGTCTTTCCCAGAAGCCAAAACTAAGTCAACCAATCCAGTCTTGCCACCTTAACTGCACTATAACCTGGCTATGAAAGTAATGCTCACAAAAAGTGATTGGGTAAGTCTAAGTTATTTTCCGTATACAGCATACTGAGAACCTTTATACTAAAAAAAAAAAACAAACCAAACTCACTGCCGCCGAGTCAGACCTTACTCATAGCAACCCCTGCTTGGGTTTCTGAGGCAGTATCACTATGGACATAGATTGCTCAACCTAGTTAAACAATGAGATGGCGCAGAAAATTAAGAAAAGGGAAAAATTCTGCTGTGTAAAGTTACCATGAGTGTCATATGGTAGTTTTAGGAGCTGTGGTGGTGTAGTGCCTAAGGCATTTGACTGCTAACTAGAAGGCTGGTGGTTCAAACCCACCAGCCACTCCTCGAGGAAGGTTGGGCAATCTACTTGCGAAGTGATACTGCCTCAGAAACCCAAAGAGGGATCGCTATGAGTCAGCTCTGACTCGACAGCAGTGAGTTTGGTTTGGTTTTTGGTATGAAAGTTCCCAATATGCCATATAAGGAAAGTAACTTAAGAGTTAACCAATCACTTTTTGCTAGCGTTATTTCCGTGTTCTTATACCACTTTGCCCATGTAACTCTGGTCTCTTCCGCTTATCCTGGGAGGCTCTTGTCTCACCTCCAGGGTCTGCGGAGGATGGCCTTTTGGTAGTTTCTGACTCTGGTTTTCTTTACATTTAATGAGTAGTCTTTGTCACCGAACGTATTTAACCCCTTTCTACACTCCTGCTTCTGTTAAAGGAGGTCTGTGGATGCAGTGGTTGAAGCATTTGGCTGCTAACCTAGAGGGCATCAGTTGGAACCTAGCAGCTGCTCCGCTGGAGATAGATGAGGCAGTCTCCTTCCATAAAGATTTACAGCCTTGGAAACCGTACTGGGGCACTTCTACTCTGTCCTATAGGGTCGGTCGCTACAAGTTAGAATCCAGTAGAAGACAATGGGCTTGTTGTTGTTGTTGGTCTACCTCCTTTACAATCTCAATCTCATGCTTCCTGAAACGCATCTGCATTTTTACTTTCGGTATTGCTGTTAAGATTTCAATAAGATTCCTTGTTCATTTTATCTCTCTTTGGAAATTCCTCCACCTGGCAAACTCCTACTCATTCCTATTCAAATATCACCTCTTTGAAGCCATCTCCAACTACCCCCCTGAATTAGTTGCCCCCTGTCCTGTGTCTCATAGCACTTCCTTCATGCTTTTATTACAGTAGTTACCACTATAATATAGTTAATTTGCTCAGACTGGTGCTCCCAACAGTAAAGGTAGAAATAAAAGTTGTTGTTGTTGTTGTTATTTGCCGTCGAGTGGGATCTGATTCCTAGCGACCCCTCCTTGGGTTTCCGAGGCGGTATCACTGCCCCACCTTCCTTTTGAGGAGTGGCTGGTGGGTAATTTACCCATCTTTATTTGTATCACCACCAGCTACATAAAAATTGTAAAGTAAATGTTGATCATTATGTATATCCTAGGTCCTTTCAAAAATAATTTGCAGCTGCTATTCCCAAAACCCACAGCCATCAAGCTGATTCCGACTCATAGCGACCCTGTTAGACAAAGTAGAACTGCCCCCTAGGGTTTCCAAGGCTGTAAATCTTTACAGAAGCCAACTGCCTCATCTTTCTCTCATGGAGCAGATGGCAGGGTGGGTTCAAACTGCCAGCTTTGGGGTTAGCAGCCCAATGCTTTAACCACTGTGCCACCAAAGCATTTTTCAAATAATAGTGAATTGTGAACTCACATACACACACACAAATTATATTTGGGGCCCCTTAGAACATAATAGGAGCTCTGGTGCCTGACATTTGACTGCTAACCAGAAGGCTGCTGGTCCAAACCCACCAGCCACTCCTTGGAAGGAAGACTATTTCTGTAGAGATACCACCTCGGTAACCCAAGGAGGGGAAACTATGAGTCAGATTCGACTCTATGGCAGTGAGTTGAGTGACAGAACATAATGTGAAACGCCACAGAGAACTCCAAGCATTCCTTCCCTACCGGACATGGTGTCAGCTGTGAAGGTACAGTGGGAAAAAAAACAAACTTCTGTTGTTTTAAGCCATCTAGTTTATGGCAATAAGGAGCTCCAGTGGTGTAGTGGTTAAGGTATATGGCTGCTAACCAAACAGTCAGTGGTTCAAACCCACCAGCTATTCCACAGAGGAAGGATTAGGTGGTATGCTTCTATAAAGATTTACAGCCTTGGACACCCAATGGGGGTCACCATGAATAGGAATCAACTCAACAGCAGTGAGTTTAGTTTTTGGTTTGAGTCTGTGGCATGCTGGTTATAGCAGCCCTAGGAAATTAATACAAAGCAAACTCTAAATTTTTTAATTTTACTGCAAAAAAAAAAAAAAAAGATGAAGAAGACATGCTTCACACTTCCCTGTACTTCACTCTATTTGGCCAGTCCACCACAAGACCTGTCAATCTCACCACCTAAATATCTCTCAAATGATCTCTGGTGGTACAATGCTAACCAAAAGACCTCAGTGGTTCAAACCCACCAGCTTCTCTGCAGGAAAAAGATGAGGCAGTCTGCTCCCATGAAGATGTACAGCCATGGAAACCCTATGGGGCAGTTCTACTCTGTCCGATAGGGTCACTATGAGTCGGAATCAACTCAATGGCAGTGGGTGAATGGATAAGTATCTCTCAAATCATTTGCTTCTTACCTTTTCCATTGCCACTACTTTGGTCCAAGCCACCACCAGTGGAAAATTGCAATAGCCTACTATATATCCATACCACTCCACAATCCAGTCTCCATACTGCCACCACAGGGAACTTTAGAAAACATGGAGCTGACCATATCACTGTCTTCCTGCTTAAAACCATTCAATGCTTTCATATCCTTCTTAGGAATAAGAATAAGATTCTGATGCTGATCTATAAGATCCTGCAGGTCTAGCCCCTGCTACCTCTCTACTTGACGTTATACCCCTTCTCCCTTGCTCTCTTTAATCCAGATATCCTTGTTCTTTTTCAGTTCCTTGAAAGTTCTGCATGCCATCTAGCTACAGGGAATTTTTTACATATGCTGTTACTTCTGCCCAGACACATTTTCCACCCTCATCACCTAGCTCTCAGTTCTTTCCAGGTCTTCCTTGACTTCCCACTACAGGGACCTCCCATATCTCTTGTCATACTACATTCCTCCCCTTTGGAGCACTTATCTTTGTACTTATGCATTCATTAGTGCATTTATTTCTTCAATGTCTTTCTTTCTCACTAAACTGTAATCACAGGACTATCATGCATGGCTGTACCAATCGTGCTCTGCATCAAGAGTCCAGTGAGAGGTAGGAGGGCTAGAATCCAGGCACAATCCACTCCCGGGCCATGAGCACTGGCTGTTTCCTCCCCCTAAAGCACCAAAACCATAAAGCAAACTCATTGCCGTGGAGTTGAATCTGACACATAGTGACCCCTCTTTGGGTTTCCGAGGAGGTATCATTACTGAAGTAGATTGCCCAACCTTCCCTCCAAGGAGTGGTTGGTGGATTTGAACCACCAGCCTTCTGGTTAGCAGTCAAATGCCTTAGGCATTATGCCACCACAGGTGCCTTTTATTTTGGTAAAGGGGGTGGTCTTCTAGCCAAGCTCTGCACCCACAGGGTTGTACATGCCAAAGAGACCACATTTTTCTAATTTGTACAAGGATAGTTGATACAGGCTCCCAGGGACCCTAGTAGATACCATGTTTGGTTTTGTTGCACACTCCATCTCCAGCCCTTAGGGCAGTGCCTGGCCCACATAAGTGCCTAATAAATATTGAATAAATAAATGAACATATTTATCCCTGTCTTTGGGGATGTACAAATGCACATTCATTTTCGTCATAAATATGCATATTCAGTCTTGTGCCCTTTTGTGTCAGTTTTCACAAATAAGAGTAGCACTGCTATATTTATCTTTGTAAAATTACTTTGTCTTTCTTT